ACATTCTGAACTACAATTGATGAATCTGGAATACTGATACTTTCTGAAATACTTATGGAAAAGTTATTGTAATTGCAAACATTTAAAAGCAATATGAAAATAAGTTTATATTACTCGCGAGAGAGGTCGAGAGAACTCGATAAAGCATTCTCTCGTCTCGTCTCGAAGTGACTTTTCGAGAGAAAATCGATCTCTAGTAATGGCGGCATCAGAAGGTAGAGCATACTCAGCATACTCATTAGAACACTGAGCAAAGAACATACCTACCTACTTTCTAATCGATAAACCAGATATGGTGAAAAGTTATAGAGCGAGAGGTTATATGTTTTGGGGTGCTGAATTTCAACTTTGCCACCACGAAAAAGTGATGCGTTCCGAGAAAACTGCAAAAAACCGTTATTTGTTTTACTACGCAGAAAAGTACAAGATTTAATGCCGCGGCTGGTGTTTCATAGCCAAGGCATAGCCGAGGCTAGGAAACCAGCCGAGGCATTAAATCTACTTTTCTGCCATGTAAAACATATAATTTTTTCTCCGAATGTTCAAATTCACACATGGACATCTTTTTTATATTTATTTCATTCATTATTATTATCCAAATAATTAAATTATTTTGACAATTGTCATTGTCACCATCAATTTCAAATACCAAATTGAGTGAAATTATTACCTGGAACGTTGTGACACTGTCACTTTTAATGCCTAGGCAGTAAAAGTCCACTTTTACTGTCTAGGCAGTAAAAATACAACTTTTGATCCTGTCAAGTGTCATTAAAAGGCCGCTTTTACTGTCATTCGGAGAAAAAAGCACTTTTTTCGTTCTTTTTGCCATAACACGGAAAATATACTCTTTTGAGAAAAAGTGTCACTTTACAAAAATATACTACATTAAATTTTCTGCAAATTATGTCTCCTAGGTTTTTTTTGTCAGGCAGACGGTTTCGCCTATAGAGCGCCTTGAAAATCGACCACATTTTCATAGTTTACCAAAAATTTGATAAAATATTATAATAAATGAACATACACATTAAAATGGATAATAAAATATGTAACTGTTGATTTGGGTTAGTTGTACTCACTGTCGCCTAAAAAGCTTGGCAACTGGCGGCTCTTCTTTAAAAGAAAAAACGAAAATGATACTTGCACGAAGGAATATTATCATTTTTCATGCAGTGAAGAAAATACCTTGTGGTTTAGCAGTCATAGCTTGTGTTGGTGTTTTATCAGCACAGGATGATTCAGGCAGCTCATCTGAAAGTTGATAGAGAAAGGAATATTTAATTTTTTTAATATATATGACGTTTGCAGTGATGAAAATACTTTGTGATTCAACAGTCATAGCTTGAGTTAGAGTTTTATCAGCAGAGGATGATCCAGGCTTTTCATCTGAAAGTTGAAAAAGGATCATGGCAGTAAGGAATGATATACATGAGAATGGAAAGTTCGTTTTTTAGTATGTTAGTAAAATAGAGGCAATACCTTGCAACTTAGAAGCCATTGAAAGAATCGGAGTCGGATCATCCAGGTTGTCGACGTCGAAATCGTCGTCTTCATCAGCGTCATATTTATCTGTGTTGTCGCAGGCGCCTTCACAGTCCTCACATAATTTGGAGCAAAAAAGTCCAGCCCTCTTGCAACCACAATTACCTTTACAGTGTTTCGTACATTTGGAAGATATTAATTGCAGGAGTCTGGCAGGTGCCAGGTGCGGGAGACTTCAACGTGGTAATAGGTATCAGACAGCCGTTTTAAGCCAACTATGGAAATTTGGTCAAGGCGCTCTAGCGGCGAAACCGTTTGCCTGACAGAAAAACCTAGCAGACATAATTTGTAGAAAATTTAGTGTAGTTTATTTTTGTACAGATATACTTTTTTCAAAAGAGCATATTTTTCGCGTTATAGCAAAAAAAACGAAAAAAGTGCATTTTTTTCGCGATTTTTCGCAGTTTTCTCGGAACGCATCACCTTTTCGAGGTGGCAAAGTTGAAATTTGGATTCAGCACCCCAAAAAAATATAAAGAACGAATGAGAAAAAAACTTCTATATTTTTTTCCCCGCCAAACTACCAAGTGACTGAACTATTTTATAAGTCTGTAAATTACTAATCCTAATCCTGAAATATAAGAATATTAAACCTTATTAAAAGAAACAAAAAAATATCCGAAAATATAATTAAATATCACAATACCTTTTAAATTAGATAATTCTAAAGATAGGTACCATGTACCATCTAATTGGTACTTTACCCGATTTTTGTATTCTATTATTGTTGATGGGAACTAATCAAAATAAAATACAGAACCCGCCGGTCCTGGTCAAAATGTTACTCAACAACCAACGTGTCCTGGCGCGACGGTACACAGAAACCCTTTCTGAACGAGGCTCCACTCGTCCCATCATCATCGAAAAGTCTTCTTGAAAAAATTATTGTCGTCGTATCAATTAGGCTTCGGACCGTCGCCTTCTTTTTTAATCACCGACCGATTATATTCGATTCTTTTTAATTTAATTTATATATGCCGCACCGATGGATCTATTAATTTGTCTGGCTGATGAGAACTACATGGTAATCCTATTTTGAAAAGACGTATATCTTGGTATAACGTTTCATCATTAAGATATAGGTAATGATAATTGCTACTGGGTGCGAGCAACTAACAATATTAATTGGGTAATCATAATCAAGTATAGGATATGACTCTCTAATATTTGAGGTTCTTACTTCTTCACCGACATATACAAAATAAAAAGTTACCTACCACAAAATGATTGCCAAAGATAATAAATATTAACCAAATTGAACTTTATACCTAATTATTATTAGGTACTCCTATAAGTCCCATATACTTAATAAATATACGAACTAGAAAAGTAGGAAATTTCGAACTAATTAAGCATTTCCGTAAATAAGCAAATGTGATGTTTTGATAATAGTATGTATTCAACCTGTGAACGGTGTAAAAGGTTAATTAAAAGATTTCCCTTTTTTTAGTACCTACTGATGATTTTCTGTAGTCGAGACTTATTTAGTAGTTTAGTAGGTGGGTACTTGATCGGCATTGTATCCTAAGTAAGTATTTATAGTACTTTTCCCATATAGGTCGACTACTACTGTATACCAATAAATTTCCATTGGCATTGAGTTTCATAACAGACACATTTTTTCTGTTTCTCCGTCTTTCAACATAAAAGCCACGCGCCACGAACAACCCCAACCCAAAACATTCCAAACATCACATTATAGGCTATGAATTCACATTAGATGACATCTCCAGATTTGTATCCGTTTGACTTCTAATGAGCTGTCGTCATTCATAACCCCGAAAATATGTATGTATTATATTTATGAATGATGCCCAATTAGTAGTGTGAACGGATATTTTTGAAAAATAATGATAGTTCAGTTTTGTGCTAATATTGAATATGCTAGATGACCAAACAATGTATTAGTTTAAAATTTGATAAGCTACAACGATAAGATAGTGTAGGCAAACTTATCAGCTATTCCTATGATAAATCATTATACCGCTCCTAATTAGCGAGCGATAGCATAACTCACTGTTTAAATTTATTTTGATAGGACTTGACTTTCACGGACATTATTCCAGAAGTGCTTCGGGAAATATTTGCTCAGCTTCCTGGATTTTCATTCGCATTCTACTCTTATGGTACAAGATATAATGCCTATATGTCTCCGATTAATCAGAGCTCAAACTCAAAACAAAATTTCATTGAAATTCTCTAATTATTTTGCTTCAATTTTATCTTATCCAAATTTAAATGAGGGTTGATGCCCATCAGTGTTAAATGAGCCGTCTAGTCAAGTGTCAGAATTCTAGCCCTAATGCCCCAAGTCGTTAAGAAGTTTGCATTATCTTATCTTTTGGTTATAAGAAGGGCTAACTTTTATCTTTTTTTTTATAGAGGCATGTGCCGGCTAACGGTAGAGCGTGCAGCTTGCCTATGAAGATTTTCGAAAAATATTTTCTGAACTTCACAAGAAGTTGAATTATCTAAAAAAAATAATTATGTATAAAGAATTTTTCTTTACAGATGATGATGGGAGCAATGAAAAAGCTTTTAGGCCCCATCATCATCATTGTGGACATTCAATCACCATTACCGTCCTTATATGAAAATACGATGGAATGGCCCGGGGCTATTAACTTAATTGATGCTCTAATGGAATGAAGAGAGAGACGGTCTTCGGCTCTTCGGTATACGAAGAATCTCATACCAGTCGTACGAGGCGGAGTCTGAAGATTGCTTGTCGACAATGGCCGATACAAGGTGGATAAGGAGAAGACACGAGGCCGGTAATTTGATGCCTTTGTCTTGTGACTCCGATTAAAAAGAAAAGGTTAATTTGATGAGGATTTTGTGAAATTTATAGCAATTATTGGAAATAAAGTCTTGTAAAGGGCTAAGGGATCTTTCAACACCCAACACTATATTATCTTGAAAATATGTTCTTATCACTTTGAGTCGTAAACTACCTACAGTAGCAGTAAATTTAAATTATCTACCTAATTATCGTCATAGTTGATGGTAAATGTTAAAACATATACGAGAAAGTCGCTAATATAACCATCGATGTGATATTTCCACTACATGCACAACATAATGGTATATTAGTGATAGCGCAATCACTAAATAGCATTATTACTAGTGATAAGACCCACATGACACGTTTGTGATAAGGTCTGTAAGTTGTTGTAGGTAGGTACTTAACGGTTAGTTACAAAAGAGAAATTATACAGGTCAAACTATTTGTTTATGCAAGAATTAGCAAACAGTTTTTTTTTAATGATAATCCACGTATCATTTTGGCAATAATCAACCAGGAAATAAGGGTAAACTGCAAAAAAAGAATCCATAGGTTTATTTCTGTTGTGTCTGGCTGGGTCTTTGACAAAACTGAAAGAACTTAATAGATTAGCTGAGCACACTAATACTGAGAAAGAGATTTGCTATTACTAAGTCATACCATTTATTTTCAGATGTTACCAGAGTAGCATCTCTAGCCTCATCCTCAAATCCGTAACATCATGTTCCATTCAGCCGTCAACTCAACAGGCTACAACGAAGTAAATTCTTCAGGATTCCATCAGCATCTTCAGCAATCGCCTGTTTACGTTCCCGGAAATCGGTCGGCTGCGGCCATGCCACAATATCCTTCACCAGCTGGTGGACATTTTGGTAAGAATCAACTCCAGTGTTGCCAGGTCATATTTTGTTTTGTCAGTAGATTACCAGTCTTAATATCAGTAGAAATCAGTAAACAGTAAGTTGCCTTGTTAAAGGGGTAAACCATTAGGGTATACTGAATTTATTATTTCAACTACGTTTTTTCAAATCATTAAATTATTAGACTATTGAAAACTTGCATTAGAAAATCAAACACCATTACCTACTTCTATTTGTTTCTATATTCTTGAAGAGTAAAATTGCCCGATTCTAAAACTATATAGTTTGTCTAGATTTGGTTGAACCATCAGCTCCAACATATTTGGTTCTGAAAATTTTAAAAATACTATCGCAGAGAAACCAAGTATAAAGGTATCTCCATAGGCGCCGAAATTTCAAAATTACGGCCCCAAAAATTAACATAAGTAGAAATAATTATACAGACAGGACCAGGCTACTAGACACATAGACTTAAATGGGACCAGTTGACAGTTACCCATTTCACTGCAGGATCGCCACGCTGGATCATTGATCTTTCTTGCATATTATCAAAATTCGTGCATCTGCAGCAGGTCGCTTATACTAGACTTCCTCAGCACCATTGGCGTAGTCAGGATTCGGAAGGGCAATAAATTTGCAGGAAGTGATCCTTGCATGCGCGAAATTTTTGGTCGTGGCACTGTTTTTTTTGCATTTAGTGCTTTCTCCACTCACTTTTCCCAACATTTTAGATTTGTACAGCATTCATACAAAAAAAGTAGTGATGAGCGATATATCACGAACTGTGATTTAATCACTGATATTTAAAAATCACGGATCACGACCGCTACCAAAGTTCTATAAAAAGCGTGACGTGATCACGACAACGTAGCAAACTAATTTCTTGTCTATTAGAGTATCTAACCTTATCCACATAAACCAGCGCTGTGTGGGCGGGCCTTTAGTTCCGGACTAAGGGATTTCGGCCCTTACCAGTTAACCGGTACTTTTGTTATCAATTAGGCAATTCAATCCATCTGTCAAAAAGGAAAATTCAATGTGGCGTGGCGGCCAAGCAAGTTTGTTTTGAATATGTTTTAATGCGTATTTTAAATTATTTTGCATACAGTTTTGCTTACAACTTTGATTTTCATTATTTTATCGGGCAGAAACTAGATATTTTTTTGTATTTTTTGACCCATGTGTGGCCGCCACGCCATCTTGAATGTCACGTGGTTTGAATTGCCTAATTTTTTAAAAATTTGAGTGGGTACTAGGTACTTTATCAAATATTTGCTTTGTTTGGTTTTCATCGTAATTTGATAATTTTGCGTTTCAAATTAATGGTATCCCACTTTATCTCACCCATTTGGGGTTTTTGCAAACGTATACTACTTTATTGTTGTCTTTGTCTTACTCACATATAGTTAACAATTAAATATTTTTTCATTAAAATTAAACTAAAAACAAGTTTCCAAGACCTTATTTGGGAAATTTATTATTTTATAATCGTTATAGTTAGGTTATTATTCAACAGGTTTTAATTAAGGCGGCGTTCCGTATCTTAACCAGAGTTACCGATTGGTATGGAGCGGTTCGTTTATGGTGACAGTTTGGTTCCTGAATATGCGGTTTATGTGTGGAACCGCGTTTCATAACCTAACCAGATTTCAGGAGTGGTTAGGTTACGGAACGAGAACCGGAAAGACCAAGAATCTTGGTTAACTTACGGAACGTCGCCTAAGTTAAACCATTTAAAATGTCATTGATGTCATGCGGCAACGTCGCTTTTAGTTGGCCATTTTGCAGTGACGTGTTTACGTTTTTATCGAGTTTTCTTTCGGATTTTCCATTTTCCCAGGGCGTTTTAAGTCGGAAAAACTGGTTTAAAGTACGAGGCTTTGAGTTTTTTTTTTCATTTTGTGCAAAAAATTTCCAGTTTTCCAATAGGGTAAGTGACAAAAACTAAATTCTCATAAAGTAGGTGCTGGAATGTTCTTTTTAGAGGTTTTTCTTTGGATTTTCCGCTTTTCCAAAGCTTCTTCAATTAGGAAAATCGATTTTAAATAAGGGGCTTTAAGGTTTTTCCATTTTGTACCAAAAATTTCCAGTTTTCCAATGGGGTAAGTGACTAAAACTTTAAGTTTCATCAAGTAGGCTTTGGAATGTTTTTTTCAGAGGTTTTTCTTTGAATTTTCCGCTTTTCCAGGACTTTTTCGGTCGGGAAAACCGATTTTAAGTACGAGGCTTTGACTTTTCTTCATTTTCTAGCACAAATTTATATTTTTAAATGCAATAATTAGGAAAATCCCATTTAAATGCTTTTTCTAGAAGTTTTGATGTGGCAACATCGTTTGTAGCCAACTTCAATCATGTAAACCTTGTAATAAATGTCATTTGTCAATTTGGTCAGTCGACCATTTTGAGTGTTTTTCTCCATGTTTTTCCTCGAAATTTCCGCTTTTCCAGGCCGTTTTAAAACGGAAAAAATGGTTTAAAGTACGAGGCTTTGAGTTTCCTTCATTTTGTGCCAGAAACTTTCAGTTTTCCAATAGGGTAAGTAACAAAAACTCAAATTTCATCAAGTAGGCTTTGGAATGTCCTTTTCAGAGTTTTTTTTGTTGATTTTCTGCTTTTCCAGGGCTTTTTCGATCGCGAAAACCGGTTTTAAGTACGAGACTTTGAGTTCTCTTCATTTCTAGTTTTCCATTGGGGTAAGTGACAAAAACTCAAGTTTCATCAAGTAGGCTTTGGAATGTTCTTTTTAGAGGTTTTTCTTCGGATTTTCCGCGTTTTCAGGGCTTTTTCAGTCGAGAAAACCGATTTTAAGTACAAGGCTTTGAGTTTTCTTCATTTTGTGCCAAAAATTTCCAGTTTTCCAATGGGGTAGGTGACAAAAACTCAAGTTTCATCAAGTAGGCTTTGGAATATCCTTTTCTCAGAGGTTTTTCTTTGGATTTTCCGCTTTTCCAGGCCGGGAAAACCAATTTAAAGTACGAGGCTTTGAATTTCCTTCATTTTCAGCCAAAAATTTTCAGTTTTAAATTAAAATTAAAAACGCAAAAAAAAATCATTAAAAAACAACTTTTTAGGAAATTTATTATTTTTTATTTTTTTTTCAGGTGGCAACACTGCTTTGTAGCCAACCTATTATAGGCTGGTACATTTTTACTGAATCTGATAGATACAATTTGTCTTTAATTTTAATACAAAAAATGTTTGCTCTCTGGCAACACTGCCTAGGACTTGAATTGATTTTTTTGTTTATTTCAATTTTGGATTATTAATGATATTTGGGAGGAGGGGGCAAATGCTCCTTTGTCCCCCTTCCAGGCTACGCCAGTGGGCAGCACCAATTCGATTCGCCTTAACCGGGTACAAGCGATTTATTACTCCCTATGTGTCTAGAAGGTTGGTGGTAGGTCCGGTCTGTGTATAAATTTCCTATGATGAACTAGGTAAAAAAAAGCCAGTGTACATCATGATATATTTATGTGATGTGAACATACCTATCATGAAAATAAACGGAGAGGAAATAATAAACCAACAACTTATTGAAGTTTAAATACCTACTGCACAACAAAATATTCAAACTGTTGTTAAAGTAGGTACCTATAGCAAAAACAACAAAAATATAAAACACACAAGTGTGATAATATAAAAATAAATAGTATAGGACCTCAATATTTATGTACCTGCCCACTACACCCATAACATACAATACCAAAATCACAAAATTTACTACAGGGGCTCAAGCCCCCATTGCCCCCATGGTTCCGGCGCCTATGGGTATCTCAAATTTTACCTGCAGCTTTCACCTATACAGGTAGTATGTTTCACAAAATCAGTATAGTAGGATAGTATTTTTACAATTTTTAGAGACGAATATATGAAAGATTGTTCAATCAAATATAGACCAACTATATATTTTTGGAATCGGGGCATTGTGCTCTTCAAGAATCTAGAATGAAATATAGGACACCCCTTTTGAAAAAAGCTGGAAGCATGCAAAATTTCACATTTCTGACATTCAAATTTTGTTTCTGACCATGGTTTCTAAAAATTCAGCCAAAACTGAAAAAAATTTGTATTTAAATTTTTTTTCTACATGTAAAGGTAAAGGAGGTAGGTGGGGTGTCAATATATAAAAAATACCCTGTACAAATAAGTGGATTATTGCGGAACTTTTGGGTGAACCTCTGCGGGACGAGCGCAGCGAGTTCCGCAGCAATCTACTCACCAATATACTGTTGAACTGTTCAACAAAAACGCTCACTTGAAACGTGTATTAGTTTTTGAACTAATGAGAAAAATTCATTGCTGAGTGAATCAGGTTAGTATTAAGTATTCTACTTGAACAACATATTAGTGAATAGATGGCTGGGTCCACCCATAAGTTCCGCAACAATCCACTCGTTTGTATTTGAATAACTTGTCACAATATATTACCAGTTTGGTAAAGTAACATTACTAATTCCTGTTGAAAGGCGAATTGACTAAAAGTGGATAATCTTACAAATTTTGACTTTATGTAATAAGTTATTTTTCAAGTACAAATAAGTGAATTGTTGCGAAACTTAGGGGTGGACCTCTGCGGGACGAGCGCAGCGAGTTCCGCAGCCATTCACTCACCAATATACTGCTGAATTGTTCAAGTAAGACATCCACCTGAATCATGTAGTTTTTAAACTAATGAGAATAACTCACATTTGAGTGAGTCAGGTTAGTATCGTAATTAAACAAAACATTGATAAATAGATGGCTGCGGAACTCGCTGCGCTCGTCCCGCAGAGGTCCACCCATAAGTTCTGCAACAATTTACTCATTTGTACTTGAAATTGTCACAATATATTACTAGTTTAGAAAGTAACATTACTGATTCCTGTTGAAAGGCGAATTGACAAAAAGTGGATAATCTTACAAAATGTCAGAAATGTGAAAAGTTGCATGTTTTCAACTTTTTTCAAATGGGTACCTAATGCAGTAGTCTAGTCTTATAAAAACAGGTAAAACAGGCTGCAGTTAGTTGTACAGCATAACGCTATGTGACCAATTGACTAACCAACAACAATGTATGCCTTTACGCAACTGGCAAGACAAAAGGCAAATAAACAAGACAAGACACAACACAAACAAGCACGAACGCCGGGGATTCCCCAGTTAGGTTGAGTGCCAGCGCTTGCACTAAGAGGGTTCGATTGTTTCAATACAAATCATACCGGACTGATCGGAGTAATCGGGCAGACGTCGTTCAGAGGACACTCCCTAGAAGTCCTAGCCAAAAGGTCGCGTATGAAATTATTGCTGTGACATTCTCATACAAGATTTTAATTTGAAAAATATCATAAAAAGCAGGTAAATAATGACAACGGCTTTTATCAGTAGAATTTACATTGATATCAGTATATCAATAAACCAGTGGCCAAAACAGTAGATCTACTAATAAATCAGTAGACCTGACAACACTGATTAGCTCTAACCATCAGCTAGGTATACATGTTTTGATGTCTTATTATCTTTCAGGAACAACAGCTCATCAAAATGCCTGGCACACAGGAAGTGGATACGCAGAAATGGGTGGACCAACTGCACATAGTTTAGGTGCGACAGGACATCACGCAGGTGCATTAGCTGCCGGACAGTTTTATGCTCAAAACATGATGATGAGGTCTTGGGGCGCTTACGATGGCGGTTTCCAGCGTAGCTCGCCCTACGGTAATTATTTAAAAAAAAAAATGATAATTCATTACGGCGTTTTAAAAGCATATTAGTACCTCTTAACAAAAACAAACGACTTCCTGCACCTGAAACATCCTGAAAAATTCCAGATCCAAGCAGCGCTAAGACAGAGGGAAGTAAAGGCTCGGCATTGATTGATAAAATTTTAAGTGTTTTTGCCGCGTCTGGTACCTTTAAGCGGCAAGTTGCTTTTGATCCGTGATTTACACTGATGCGCGGATGCCTTTGTGGCCTGGATCTCTCTGTCTTATCGCTTATATGCAGTTTAAAATTACCCTAAATAAAAATTATTTATTCAGATTTAGAACATCATGTGGTTTTCAGATCCTTCACTCGAATTTCAATTTGGAGAAGGTCGGGAGTGCGTGAATTGTGGTGCGATTAGCACGCCCCTTTGGAGACGCGATGGTACCGGACATTATCTATGCAACGCCTGCGGACTCTATCACAAAATGAACGGCATGAACAGGCCTTTGATTAAACCTTCAAAAAGACTGGTAAGGAATTTTGTGATAGATATTTGAACACTGTCGGACATTGAACCCAAAAAAATTCGAAATATTAATAGTCTTACATGTTTAATTTCCTCCAACTGTATGCCGGAGATTTCCAATTATTCTTCAGTAACTACAGCAAGCTAAACAATAAAGAAAACAGGAACAGGCCTTTACTTATTTAATATCCTGTTATGATATCTATAAACAATTAATTAGAATATTTAGAATAATCAGTCAACTGTCAAAGATTAAAGAATAATATTTAAGATATAAGCCAAGCCTATTGTTTAACAATAGCCGAAGATACCTATCTAATTTTGGTTCCAACTTTCGCCAAATCACTACAACAATCTTGATTGAACTGCTCGTTTAATGCGTCAATTTGCTACCATAAGGAAATCTGTTATTACAGGGTTTTCCAAAAGTACTTGAGGTCTTTGTAACATTGTTTAAACAATGGAAACTACAACTAGATTTCACTCTAGAATAGAAACAAAAATACTAGCTCTCTTAGTCTAAGCACAGCTCCCATCTTCCTAGCGGGCAGAGAGAATGGCTGTGAACACATTTTCCGACATAGCATGTGTGATTTCTGCTACTGCAGCTATTGACTCTATCATGTGTGAGTCAATAGCTGCAGCAACCTTGATTTCAGAAAAGTCCAGCGGAGTCAAGTCATAAGAATGAGGCGCCATCTACCATCTACTAGAAAATGCTTTGTCCAAGTACTCACGAATTAGTCTAGCAAAGTACGCCGTTTTACTGGAGAATGACAACGTCTTCTTCTATCCAGTTTTGGTTCCAAAAATGGTCAAGAATTGTCTCTTGTCTCTATTCTAGGCTCTTGAATTCTTTCAATTTAGGAAAATTTGAAAAAATTTAATAGCCGGGAACAGACAAAAATTAAAAAGGGATAGTTAAATAAGCTAGAAAATTAATGAGAATTGAAAATTGAGAAAAATTTGAGGGGAAACTATATGGTTGATGAGCAGCAATACAAGAGTTTACTCTATTCGAGTACAACTTAAAGTCCCTCTATTTAGGGAAACTTGAAGAAATTCAAGAGCAGGGAATAGACAAAAATAAAGAAAGAATAAATTAGCGACAAACTTAATGAGAATTGAAAATTGAGAAAAATTTGAGAAGAAAGTGGTTGATAAGCAGAAATACAAAATTCTATTCTGATCCAGGCTTTTGAATTCTCTCCAAATGACGTCATTTTAGAGTCAATTTCGGTTCGCGATGTCATCTCACCAAAATATGACGTGATTTATGACCTTACTGTCACATGCATAAACGTTATGTCATGATCAAACTGACACATTTATGAGGACGTCAGTTGTATCATATTTCACATACGACATGGCTGACGTATTTATGACGTAATCGTACGGCATTTTTATTATTCCTTGCGTTCCAATATCCATTCGCGAGTGTATAGATATTTTATCACGTGATTTTAAATTGATTTGAAATGAATCAAACACGTGATAACTGTCAAAATTTTCATCGGAATGCTCATAGATTGGATTTTGGAACTCACCTAATAAACTACGTCTTTTCCCATTGGCGGATGCACGGGGGGCGAAGGGGGTTATTACCCTCCCCCCCAGAGAGACCTAAGAAAATTTCGATTATCAAAAAAACATAAATTATTTTTTGGAGGCTTAAAATGCATTTTGGGCGTGGCACCTGTGCTTCAAGTATAGACCACGAGCCGTTACTGGTCGAGAAGCTCTACTCCCCCTAGAATGGTGCTATAGATCCGCCACTGTACTTCTCAAACTTCTTCCAGCTCTATAACTTGTTCATGTTTATTTTTCTCTTAATGGTCTTTGAGGTTTATATATTTTGATCAAATGGATGAGACAAGAGCGTCTGAGCTCAATTATTCAACTCAGACGTTCTCAGTATCTTCAATACCTGATAATTATGAGACGAACATTTAGTTAAAAGGTCCTTGCGGCTGGGGAAAGGTTGGCAAACTTATCGGAAAAGTTGGTTAAAGGGTTAATTACCTAACTGAGAATGCCCAATGGAGTCAATGAACATTTTTCTCTAGTGTAAATGTCACAACTTCAAACGTCAACGTTGAGTTATTTATGGCGCATACTTAAGGAATTTTGAGAAAGCATTGGATTTTCTTCAAAAATGCTCTAAAAAAAATTATAACTTTTACATTAGTGTCAATTAGACTTATAGGCCCGGTTTATCTATCTTCTTAAACATGCTATGGTAACAGTCTACAAGACAAAATATACCAAACTAGGCCGACCAAAATAGGTTGCGCTTTTAGACATTTGACAGTTTATCAGAAACTAAATAAACCAGGCCTTAGCATTGTCATAATAAAACTCTGTGTTATTTCAGACAGCAACTCGTCGCTTAGGCCTCTGCTGCACGAACTGCGGCACCCGAACGACGACTTTATGGCGACGCAACAACGACGGCGAACCCGTCTGCAACGCGTGCGGCTTGTACTTCAAGTTGCACGGTGTGAATCGGCCCTTGGCGATGCGCAAAGACGGCATCCAAACGAGAAAAAGAAAACCCAAGAAACCGGCGGGATCCAACGGGCCCGGCGGTGGTAGTGGGCCGACCGGTTCTGAAAGGGAGGACAGCAACTCCGCCCCTACTGAAGGTAAAGACACACCTTTGCTTTGTTTTGGAGGGAGTTTGATTATTGATGTTTTGGTTGTGTGAGAATGTTTGTGTGCGTTGTATCAACAGTGTGGCCCAAATTCGAATTAAGTCTGTAACCAAAATGGAAAAAAGCACACTTTCCGAAGTCCTACTTAGTTAACTGAAAGCTAGCCAAGTTGCTAACACTACACTAATATGCATCAAAAACGATAGAAGTTTAGTTCAATTAAGTAGATACTGCCTTTGGGTCAATATCCATTGAAGTTACCGTAGTTCTAGTTAACTGACAACCAGCTGCTTTGCTAATACTAGCTATCTATTTTGTCATTTTTTCCAGCTCTAACTTAAGTTCATCTTAGTTATTGTGAAAAGGCGAAATTTGCGCCACCTTCCCCTATAAATATTTAATGTCTAATATTTTTGAGAATTGTTATGCTGATGTTTTGGTGCGGGCAGACAACATCCGATTCGACCATTCGAGTTATATAGGTCTGACAAGTTTGGGAAATTCTGCACATTCTTGCAACACAGCCAAATGACTAGAAAATTCGCAAATCAAATTTTACTAACTACGACATTACCAAAGAATAAGACTTCGATAAAAAACAAAATGAGAAATTTCCAGTTCCAATCCAGTGATAGGATTTTGGCTCCGCGATGGAAATCGTTCAAAGAAAAGACCCAAGACACGATCTCGAAGAAAAATTAAGCATTGGGTACTTTTCTAGTAGGTACCCCCTGGGAGAGTGTAGTACCTGGATATTGCGGATCGTTTTTCTTCAACAGGGGAATAAGTTCCTCAAGATTGTTATGGACCATTTTTCAGTGGCCAGAAGTGGCTCCAATTTCCAATCAAGAAGCAGAGAACATCATTGCTAGACACGAGGTTCCGATGGAACTTTATACAGGGTGATTTACGTAGCCCGTGCATTAAAAATTTTTTGGTTTGTAGCTATAATCAATCGTTCCGGTGTCACCTAGAATATTTTCAAATCTTCAACTACACAGGGTGTACCAAATGTAAGCACAAACTTTCTTATTTCAAATAAAAACTCGCATCTTTTCAACATATATAGTTGGGCTTGCAATTTTGAGTTTGGACCACCCAAGTTATGTCAATCTATCTTTTATAGTTTTTGACATAAATGTCATTTTTTGTTATAGATTACCGCTGTAGGTATTTAGAAAAGAAAACAAAGTTTCCCAAAAACCGTCCTAAAATAATAAACCAAATTTGGAAGATAAATAGCGGAGGGTTCAGGCTAACTCCTGATGTGTCATTAGTGCGCCCATTTCATAACATATGGGTGCAGGCGACCTGCAAACATCGGAATTAATAATGGTCAAAAAGTCATTTTTTTTTTTTAAATGTAAGTTACAATGTTATTTGGCACCATTCGAAAGAAAATTGAATTCTAAATGGCGTTCCTTGAGCATTCTCTATACCTTACTTGATTCGTTATGGAGTTATCCATATGGAAAAGTCCACTTTTTCTGACTAGACAGTCAAAATACACCTTTCACGCCTGTCAAGTGTCAATAGATAACCACTACAAATGTAGTTCCGGAGAAAAATAACTAGTTTTGCTGTTGTTGTTTTTCTTTTTTTTTTTTGGTTGACACATCAAGGAAAGAGTGGATAAGTTACGGGGTTTAGGGATTTCTTGAGTTTTATGAATACTTAACTCAATAACGAATCAAGTTATATAGTTATGGAATCCTTGAGTAACGACATCTAAAATTCAATTTTCTTGCAAATGGTACCCAAAAACATTATAGGTGACATTCAAAAAAATTGACTTCTTCACCATTATTGATTCCAATTTTTGTAGGTCGCCTGCACCCATATGGTGGGAAATGACCGCACTAATGACACATCAGGAGTTAGACTAAACTTACAGCAGCTCCTAAATTTGGTTTATTATTTTGGAACGGTTTTCAAGAAACCTTGTTTTCCTAAACAACTGCGCAAATTGAATTTGAAACAAAAAATGACATTTATGTCAAAAACTATAAGAGATAAGTTGACAAAACTTGGGTGGTCCAAACTCAAAATTGCAAACCCAACCGAGCTAGGTTGAAATAGATGCATATTTCTATTTGAAATAAGAAATTTAGTGCCTACATTTGGTACATTCTGTATAGTTGAAGATCTGAAAATATTTTAGGAACGATTGATTATGGCTACAAACTAAATTTGATGTTTCTAATCCCTGAAAATTCTAATGCATGGGCTATGTAAATCACCCTGCTATAGATAAGTATGGAAATAACGCGGGGCCGTGGCTAGAGTCAAATTTGTGATACGGCATGACAAATTTGACATAGGACATACACTACTTGCCCCCCCCCTCCCTTAAATTTTGTATAGCTAAACAAAATGGGGGTAATGGCGCCGAAGAGGCAAATTTTTCAATAAATCAAAGTTCCCAAAGTTAATATAGGTTGTCTGGTAATGGGTGATTTGATGACGCATCTGGGGTGCCTTATGGAGAGTTGCATGGATGTTGAAGCACCCCAGATGACGTCATAAAGTTATCAGGCAATCTACCCCTCTCAAACAACCTTGTCAATAAATAACATTTCTGGGCCATTCGCACTCTTTCGAAACGAAAAACTTCCTCTGTGCAAACGGCAAACGTCAAACATTTAGTCGTTTTCGGAATCCTCGCACTTGCTTGATTTCAGGCTTATTCATTATCTACTCCTAAATTTCCTAGAGAAACTTCAACGCATGTTGTGTTTTAAAGGTAGGGCATCATCATTTGAAAGATAGGGCATTGCCCCCCAATTAGGGCTTCGCAAGACCAAGACCAAGACCAAGACTGGCCAGTCTTGGTCTTGGTCTCGAAAAATAAATGCGGTCTTGGTCTTGATGTTTCAAGACCAAGACAAGCCTGGCGGAGTCTTGGTCTTGGTCTTGGTCTTGAAAAAAATGTATACCTACCAAATTTCCAAAATATCCATAACATATAACGACAGACCAGAGATAATGGATTTAGGACTACAGAAATAAAAAATAAAACTCCCTTTCTGAATAAATTATGCCGACGTTTCGACCATGCATTTGGTCTTCCAAGCTATTTTTACCAGCAAGAGCGTTTCATGTCAAAAAATACCGCATTAAGTGAAACAAATTACTATCAATTCTCAAATTATTAGAATTTTTATTAACAGAACAGGAAAGTTGACAAACACACCATAAAATTGCCATTCTGTACCGAGGAAAAAAATAAATTTTTATTTGAACCATAAGAATAAACCTACCTTACCTACCTGAGCATTCAGGCCAGACAAAGGTTTTCAAGAACCCTCTCGCGTTAAGAAATTTGCGTATTTTCATAAATATTGAGTCGCGACTTCTCTTTTCAAGACCAAGACCAAGACGAAAGTCTCAAGAGAGAGTCTTGGTCTTGGTCTTGAACCTCAAGTCTTGGTCTTGGTCTTGAGAAGATGTATTCGGTCTCGGTCTTGGTCTTGGTCTTGCTACCAAGAAGCCCTACCCCCAATGCCCCTCCACTCCTGGCTAATGCCCTGAAACAACGATGCGATTTACTGGGAATATGGGAAACGAGATCGACTCTACTTCATCCATAGTTAAATGGTCGAGAGGCACAATCAGAGCATGAATCAATGCTTCTCCATGTTTATGGATGAACACCAGCGGAACAGGGATAAACTGGTAACTGGTGCTGGGGATCCCTTTTCCTACTTGGCCGAAATAGAAACTGTTAAACCAACACAAAAACGAGGTAAACCCAGGAACCAATTTAACTTTTGCGAGAGAGTGGCTCTGACCAGTAACGGCCAATTTCATAATCAACTTAAAGTAAACTTTAAATTTAAAGCTTCATTTGAAGTTGAAAAATCCTATCTTAAAAGTCTATTTAGCTAAAGTAACTTTTAATTCTCTATTATGAAATTGGCCGTAAGAGCACGAGCAACTTAAACTGTACCTCCTCTAATGGAAACATTTCACGCTAACGTATTCCAGAAGATTTATGATAAATATCAAAGAGACTTCGAGTCACAACAATTAAAAAAAGAATTGGAAAGAGAATGCAAAGAAAAAGCTCCAGGATACAAATATCAAACGCAGAAAAAGGGTCAAGCAACGAAAATCCAAGCTGTACACAAGGACGAATATCAAAATGTTGGGAAGTTTTAGAAAGAATGATTACTTTCAGCATGACTTAATCGATGCTGTTGAATAAAGGAAAAATAAAACTTCCCTAGATCTAATGTTTGGTAGACGAGCAACCGATGAAGATATTATATTTCCAGTTCACGTGACTGATCTCTAGACCAGTCTCAGATAAGTTCATGACTTTATTAGCAACAGATCACGTTTGAGCAGCGACTAAATGTAGAAGAAAATCGACACTCAGCTACCAATTGGACACTTTTTGGTACAGGCGACGCCCTCTGGGTTGTATTAGCTACAGCGGAAGCAAAGCACTTAGACCGAACTTACAAAGGCCATGGAAAGTGCCATACAGGATTGTTAGGCAGATCAATAACTTGGTTTGCAGGATTTAACATTCTCCGCAAGCCAAGCTAAAGACAGAGACGAGAATACATTGATTTGGAAGCGATCAGGAGAATCTTTCACCCAGCTTTAAAGAAAAGAGCGGTGTTATAACGAATCCGTGACGAATGAGAGAGATTTAACAAGACATTTCTAGAAGCAACAACGCACTATAAAACGGAGTCGGCCATCGAGGGAAACGTTCAGTGATATATTAGAATCATTCATTAGAGTCATTAGCCTGTTGAGTCTCCTGACATTACGTACTTCCTTAGCTAACTCGCAGTACCTACCTACATGGAATGAAGCTTCCTGAATTTAATTTGCAAAGAAAGAAAAGTTTAATCTGTGATTTTCTCCAAAATACAATATATTGTCGAAATCTGTTTATTTATAAGCGAAAAAGATAAAGGTGTGCACTAATACCTTGTTCAACAAGATTTCTCTGAATTTCTGATTAGTACCTACCTACTTATATAAGTGAGAAATAAATAATATATAAAAAAATTAAATTTCAGAATCAAAATTGGTCCACCGTCAATCGTCACCTCCTCCAAGTCATCACCATCAGCAGCAGCAGCAGCAGCCTCACACCAATCAAGCTCAATGTCCGTCTCAGAATAACAACCAAACGAATCTACATGAAAAATCAGCGTTTGGCAGTAATTCAGAAAGGCCCTATTTAGGACAGACTTCTTTGTTACCCGCTACTAGTACGAGTTCAATAAAAAGCGAGCCGCTGTACGAATATAGGTGAGAACTTTACATTCAACAATTTTTTCCTCTTCAGCCAATACTCAAGCTGTTATGACACACATTTCATTATAATTTAATATTTTTCCATAATACATTAACACATGAAATACATTTCTTAATATTTCTAAATTTTCTCTTTTAGTTGTTTACAAAATCAACCGACTTACCCGTACCAGCAACTTTTCGGCTTTTCCGGTCCATCTTCAGGCAACAGCGAGATGGCCTACCATCATCAGCATCACGTGACTGCGGCCGCTAAGCTCATGGCTTCCTCATAGCCACACTACTTTCTTCTGTAAGGATTTAATTTATTAAATTTGTATTTATTTTGTAAATAAGCAAACTTAATGCTTCTACAAAAAATCTTTATAATTTGTTGTCGACCAAAACGTATTTTCTTGAATTAAAAGACTGCTTTAAAGACGTCATTGCTATAGTAGTTATATAAGCACAAATGTATGTTAGTAATTCAAAGGTGTACTTGGCTAATTATCATTTCAGTATCATATTGACATTAGTCATCCAACCCAGATTTTAAGTGCCCCTTTAAATTATTTTGTTTTGTTGTATAAATAGGTAAATCACGCAATTTGAATATTGTTTTTATAATTATACAAAAGTTCCTCCTTTCTTTTTAGCTCATATTGAGTTAAAGTGCAATATAAATTGAGTTCTTTAAAGACTATACACTTGTTATTTATAATATTTTAATGAGGAAACAATTATTATTATTTATTTATAATTTCATTGTAAATAAATATATTATTATGTGTAGAAAAGCATGCAGTATTTTGTTTGTGTATATATATATGTATTATGTTTGATAATAATTGTTAGTCATATGTAAATACTTTGCCATTTAGATATAAATAAACGTTTTTGATGCTAGAAGATAATTGTATTTTTCAACCCTTGGTATTTGATAAATTATGTATTTGCTGTCGTCTATGACGTTGATTGCTGAGCTTTGGTTTTGTAACAATATTGGGTTAAATGGTCAAGGAACATTTTATTAAAGGCTTGACCATGCAGTGAAGAGCTTGGATATAAGTATTGTATAAGGTTAAAGCCCCTAAAAAATTACTAATACCTAACGATGTGTTTTCTTTTCCATTACAAGGGTCGAAAATAATCAAACATTAAAGAGACAGGGGTTGAGGCACGTGTCAAAAGCCCACAAACGATCAAAAGTTTCTAGTTATTTTATGGTCAGTGGCGCAGAGAATAAAGTCACGATTTTGGAGGAATAGAATTTTGGAAAATGCCTTGTTCTGTAGTACGTTAAAGAATCATTATTCTCACAACACTTAAGGTTTCGAGAGGTTTCACCGTTAATTGAATAAATATACGGTAGCGATTCCATTGGGCACCGATCTATCAAAGATCAGAAATTTTTTGGTGTTTATTCCATATACTTTTATCAGGATCTATTTTATCAAAGTACCAACCTCATTACCATCGACTCAATATGCATTTGTTTTTCGATACACATAAGGCTTAACTCAAAGATGTAACAGTCAAATCTCCAAAACTAAGAGATTGGAAGATTCAATAAGATCCAATAAAACCTTGTCCTGTGGAACACTATGGCTTGGCTTTTCTTTGAATTTATCTTTATCTTTCAGCAGATGCACCATTCCAAGAGAGTGCAGAAGATTCAATAAGATCCAATAAAACCTTGTCCTCTGGAACAGTATGGCTTAGCTTTTCATTGGGTTTATCTTTATCTTTCAGCTGATGCACCATTCCGAAATCAGATCCTTATAGATTTTCCTGTTGATTATCGATTTTGGGCTTCTTCTCTGTGCGAGGACTGCGTAATAATCTGCGTACAGATCAGAAATTCTTGAATGAATGTTGCAAGGTAAATCCATTGGATACGTAATCGACTATTCTGAGCATATTGTAGTTGTTTTGAATGTGTCATCTTTTCTCCAAATCTGAATTATTCTTCCAGAATCTACTCTGGTCCGTAATTTCCTGAATAATCCTGAAATTGGTTAGGTACTTCTTCTGATACCTTGCCCAAAATGGGCAAAACGTTGACGAGATGATGGTCCTGTGGAAAATTTCGGTCCTTTTCTGATGAATTTCCTTAGAGTTGGCCTAATTTCTGATACAAAACTCTATATCCCCATTGAGTAGTCTCCTTAGTTCGCTCAACTTCAATCTCATAGTTGATGTAGTCTTTCTTCATCTGGATTTTCAGTATATTGATCTGGCATTCTTCCGTCAATGTTATTGCAAGGGCTTCAGACTTTTCATCATTTAATAATCTCATTTCATGCAACGGTTGCGTGATTGTAAACTCGCTTCTGTGTTTCTGAATTTTTCATGCATGCGCCCTTGGTTCGCATTCAGAATGTTGGAGTTCGAGGCTGGAGATTTTCTGTTGAGTTTATTTTGTACTGAGTTTCTTGGCCATCTATTACTTCTTTTTTCTCAATTCCTCTTCTCTTTCATGTTAGGAAGAAGACGTAGACCGAGAAGGAGCTGTAGAAAAGGAGTGGATGAGGTAATAAGAAACCGAGACTTGCAGGAGGATACCTGGATTGATAGAAAGATGATTTAGATGATGATGTAGTATAAATTACGTAATAGGAATCAGCTACAGCTATAATCAATATAGATGCAATTATACAATAGCTCTTCTCTTAAAAATAATGAAAAATCCGTTAAATTCGATAACGAGCCGTTACTGGTTAAAATAATAGAGCCGAGCGTGGTCTCGCGATCGCCACTTTAACCTGCGTTGACAGCTCTATAATAGAGCCGCCGACCTGTCAATTACGGCCTCTTACAAACAAATATAAAATCGCGGTAAATATGATTTGGAGGTTTAATAGTGCTGTGGCCAAAAGCAGTGATTTTTGTGCGAGTCCGTTTGCAAATGGGTAAGTTTGAATATATATTTTTATTACATTCAGACGTTTTAAAAATCATTATTGAAAACGTTTCGAAAACTCTTTTTCGGATCCTCAAAAGAATGTTTTCATAAAACAGACGTTTTATAAAGGTTTCTGTTGGTCGTCTTCAAGAATACCATTGAAAACATGCATTTCATATAATCAAGTAGGTATGAAGATATAAATATATTATTGGACGTCCGGAAATTAGTTTGGTTCAAGACGTTTCCAAAGCCTCCATTTTCAACGTCTGATGTTGTGCAAATGTCACATTCGCAATATTTGCACTCTAAAAAGTCTATTGGACATTCTAGAATACTTTAAGAGACATCCATTGGACGTTCTCAGTTTTCGAAACATTTCTCAAACGTTTCTGTACTATTAGAGATATTTCTCTAAGTAACTAACAGACAAAATAAAACAAAATTTCCAGGTCGTATTAATTTACCAAATCCAATACCCTGCAGAGTCTGTGGAGACAGATCGTATGGAAAACATTATGGAGTCTACTGTTGCGACGGATGTTCTTGCTTCTTCAAACGCAGCGTGCGGAAAAATGTGTTCTACACTTGCATCTGTATATCATCCAATAAAAATTTCACACACAAATCTAAAATACTCGATTTTAGCAGGCGATGGTCAATGTGTGATAGATAAAGCCCGAAGAAACTGGTGCCCCTATTGTAGATTGCAACGTTGCTTTGCTGTACGAATGAATGTCACAGGTTAAACCTCAATTATCTCTTGGCAATTTTAATTTTCTGTTTTTTCAATTGTAGCAGTTCAAGACGAACGAGGTCCAAGAAAACCCAAACTATTAACCGCAATGATAACCGAACGTTTTTTTTCATCTACAAACAATCATACCGCCTACGAAACTGTAGCGCACGTATTTTTATTTACAATAAAACAGGTGCGCTATAATTCAGGTTTTGGCCTACTGAATCGACAATCGCAAAATAAAATTTTGGGCCAACAATGGGCCGCCGTGCTAAGTTTCAGATTGGCTTATTGGACTAGTAACATGGACCATGTTTTGCCTTATTTACAAACAACTATCAAGCATTTTCAGGAATTGAAATTGGACATAAATGAGAGGGAGTTTTTTGAAAATACTATTTTATGCAGGAAAGATGTGCTTGTTGATGATTTAAAGGAGAGTGCCTTAGCGGAAGTGCTACAAGAAAAAGCTGTTGATGGTTTGTATGCTAAAAATTTGATGGATAAAAAGAGGTTTTTAAAAATACTCCTGTCTATATCTGTATTGTATAATTGTAGCTCTGAATGTTTATATTCTCACTTGTTTAAGCCTATTATTGGGGAAGTGTCTATGGAATCAATAATAGCTACAATTTAAAATGTTAAACGTTACTTCTCTGGCCGCTCTTCAGAAGACTATATACTTCAGTGTGCTCTCGCTTTTTTTATGAATGTATTGGTGAGCATTTCTTACATCTCCAACTAAATTTGATAAAATGTTGCTCCTTCTGGCAGTTTTTTGAATTAATTTCCGTCTGCTGTTAATATAATAATTATTGTCACTTCTTTTGTATTTTTGCTAGCACAACACAAGAATATAGGTAAATAAATAAATAAAAAATTATTTCATTTTTTTTTACTTTGTTTTGGCTTCACCCCTTATGTATTTAGCCACATATTGGCACTGTCCAGGGATGACCGGCTCGCAACCGCCATTTCCAGCAAGCTACGTAGGAGTCGTATATTTGTTTTTCTTTCGATTTTCTTAATTCTCTCTCGTTGAGGATTGAATATCACCGAGTCAATTTAAATTGGGGTTTGGACCTCATTTTATATTAATATATCGTATAGGTTAGGTTGCAGGTTTTGGCATTCAAAAACCAAGTGTTCCAATGTTCCCACCTCCCCACATTCACATTCCGGAGTGTCCTTTATCCCCAGTCTATGAAGGTATGCGGGAGTTAGTCCTCATTCTGATGATTGTCGTTATATGTCTTCTGCCCAAATATTCCAGATTGTAGAACCAGGGTTAATCCGGACACGTTCCTACATATTGTTTGCCCTTGTTTCCTGATGAGTTCTTCCAATATTCCTTCCAAATTCGCTTATACTTCCTCTTAAACTCCGGAATAAATAAGCCAGCTTCATTCGCCTCTATCAATTGTTGCTTGGTAGACATTCGAATAAAATCTTGGTTTTTTAATTCTCTGCCATTTATGGCTTTCACCGCACTTAGTGAATCTGTAAATATAACTGATCTCCCAATAATCCTTCTGAGGCACTCACTTGTTGCTTTATGAATTCCTACGATTTCTGCTGTGCAAATTTGGGTAAATTTAGGGAGTTTCGATGAAAAGTTATATTTAAGTTGGGGACAGTAGACCCCAAAACCAGCCTCGTTTATTGTTTCCTTCATAACCGAGGCGTCAGAGTAAAAATGAGTATAATTTTTAAATTTTTCCCTAGTAACTGTCAAGAATTTTCCTGTCATGGCCTTGTCGTTTTTATCACTGTTAATTTCTATTGTAGGTACAGGGTTATTGGTGATAAATGTCACCCCCCTCTATCTTTTTTATTTGACATTTTAGAAAAAAGTGTCCCAAATAAAAAAAAAATATGGTTGAAATTAAATTTTTTGAAAATCTCACTTTTGCCTATACAGGTTGTTTCAAAAAAGCTGGTCGTGCTTCAACTTTCTTATTTCAAATTGAATACCCTATATATTATTCAATATTCGGATTCTACGTCAAATTCTGAGCAGTTTTCATGTGATATACCCTATACCTAAGTTCAACTGTTTTGGAAATATTGACAGTTGAAAACTTACTGTTTTCCAAATTTGACAGGCTGTAAACCTAAACGGTTAACTTTTGAGCAAAACCGATCTCACATTTGAAAATCTTAAATTCACAAGTTATTATTTTACATCAACTTTGAATTTAACCGAAGATTAAATTTAATTGGAATTTTCAATCATGGATTAAATTTAAAGTTGATGTCAAATATTGGTGCCAACTGATAGTTTATAAAAATCTAAGATAAAAATGTAAGATCGGTTTTGCTCTAAAATTAACCGTTTAGGATTTACAGCCTGTCAAAGTTGCAAAAAAGTCAATTTTCAACTGTCAATATTTCCAAAACAGTTGAACTTAGGTATAGGGTATATCACATGAAATCTGCTCAGAATTTTATGTAGAATCCGAATATCCAATAATATACAGGGTATTCTATTTGAAATAAGAAATTTGGAGCACGACCAGCTTTTCTGAAACACCCTGTATATGCGAAAGTGAATTTTTCAAAAAATTTAATTTCAACCATAAAACTTTTATTTGGGACACTTTTTTCTGAAATGTCAAATAAAAAAGATAGAGGGGTGACATTTATAACCAATAACCCTGTACCTCACTGATCAAATTGATCAGTTCAAATTCAAAGACTGGAATTGTATCTTACTTTTTGATTTTGTCCTCAAGCTCTTCTGCTTCACCATACATTTGTACCAAATAAGGTGCCTCTCTACTAGCGAAGTATCCATATTGTTTAATCTAAATTCCTTTATTAAGGGTGGGTATTATAAAACTGCTCTGACAATTAACTTAAAGTTAACTTTTTGAATTACATGTAATTCCAGAAGTTAACTTTAAGTTAACTCTCAAAGTAGTTTTATAATACCCGCCCTAAGTCAATTATATTATAATATTATTCCTGAACTTTTTAAATATTTTTAATAATGCATTTTTTGGCTAACCATATTCTTCTTGATTCTAGTGATTCTTCTCCAGACTCAGCGAGCAGTAGATTCGTTGTGGTTGAACGTTTTTTTTTTTAGTTTTAGGTATAATGAACTGAGACCCATAGTCCAAAGTGTGTCCTGATTATTCCTTTATATATCTGTAGTAAAGTTCTGGGATCTCCCCCCACCACGCTCTGGTTAGACTCTTGATTACATTGATAGCTTTTCCAGCCTTAACCGACATGTTTTCAATCTGCTTTGTTCAGTTGACATTGTCTGAGATAATCACCCCCAAATATTTGTACCTATTCTTTAACCCATGGGATTCTTTTGTCTCTGTAAGTAACATGAATGTTTGGAGCTGTGTGTGATCTAGGTCCTACCAACATCGCGGCGGATTTTCTGGCAGAAATCCTAAAATTTAGTTCTCTGAACCAAGTTGAAATTTCAGACAATGCCAGGTTAACTTCGCTAACCATTTCATCCACATCAATTCCCTCTATGAAGAGTATAGTCATCTGCGTATTGAATAATTTTGATATCTTTCCTTGAAGTTTATCATATAGGCCCCTGGAGTAAATATTAAATAAAATTGGGCTCAGTGGTGAACCCTGCGCTAGTCCAGTTGAGATCTCTTTCGGGCCCCTCAAGAGTCCCTCTCTGTCCCTAATGAATACTTTGCGATTGGTTAGAAATTCAAAAATCCAATTTTTCATAGTTGGAGAGATCTCCAAGTCTTCCATTGTTTTATAAAGGTGATAAATATTGACATGGTCATAAGCTCCTTTAATGTCCAAGAATACCACCAATGACTTAAGTTTCCTCTGAAAATTCCTTTAGGTATATGTTAAGGGTTAAATAGGCTAGGCATTCCATACATCCTTTTCCCCTCCTAAATCTTATTTGTGGTGCTGGGAATTTTTGATTTTTTTCAATCATCCATTCCATTCTATTTTTGATAATGCCTTCCATAAGTTTACCAGCACATGCTTCCAGTGCAATCGGCCTGTAATTGCTTGCTTCCTTCTCATCACCATTTTCTTTTAAAATTGGGCAAATAAGAATGCTTTTCCATTGTTCTGGGCTTCTTCCGCTTCCCATACTCTTAGGCCCAGTTGTACAATCTCGGTTCAAAACAAAGTTTAACTAAACTCGACTGGTACTTGAGCTTTCCCATTTAAAATACATTGCTGTCAGCCAATAATCAAATTCTATCAATTTTGACAGCAACGCATTTCAAATGGGAAAGTTCAAGTACCAGTCGAGTTTAGCTGAACTCTGTTTTGAGCCAAGATTGTACAACTGGACCTTAATGAACATTTCTACAAGAAAAGATTTCCCAATCCTTGGGAGGTATTTCAGCATAGAGTAGGTTATCCCATCCATGCCTGGCGCCGAGTCTGAATTTCCATTCAAAACAAAGTTCAATTCAGTCAATGTGTTTTCTTTTTCATTATCTCCCTCAGAGACTTCCAGAATAAAATTTGGGTCCATGCTAATTTGATTCAGATTGTCTAATATTTTTAGTGCTGTCTCTTCTGATGGACCTTTGTTTCTTTTCCACCTTTGCCACTAGGGAATATTTTTATTGTATTCCATACTTCTTTAACCGGAGTATTACGATTAAGTTTTCCACAAAATTCTTGAAAATAAGATTTTTTTTTTTAATTTTAAATTTTAGTTTAGTCTTAGCTATGACTTAGTTTTAATATAATTTTCAATTGAATAATTTTCTTTTAGTGTGATTAATTTCCTTCTCCTCTCTCTAATGAGTTCCTCACATTCTCCATCCCACCAGGGAGTTACCTTTTTTGTAACTTCCTTCGGTAGTTGTTTGTATGGGATTACTTCCTGTTTCCAAAAGTATATTTTCAAACTCTTGATAGGATTTAGGGGGATTATCCAAGCATTTCCTTTGCATTTTATCATGGCAGATTTCCCAATTTGCCCTTTTCAAATTTCTTCCTGGTCTTCTTCCCGAATGAAATTCATGTGAGTTCAGTCCTATTTCAATTATGATTGAGCTAGCTGAAGGTCTGTTACCTTCAGGTTACCTATGATGTTAAATAGTGAATTTCTCATAAAATCTTCAGTCATGGAAGAGGGAAATATCCTCACCGACGATTCCGGAATACTCGCACTGACATTTCCAGAGAAATTTTGTAGTGGTCCTCCCCTAAGTCTTGTGATTGGGGAAAGAGGCATTGCTTACTTGCTTCCATATCATAACCTTTCATTGGGGAAACTGTTGATTTTCTGTTTTTCGCGACTGAAAATCTACTGCTATAGGTTGGATTGTTTTCTCTTAGTTTCCTGAAAGATCTGGTCTGTTTTGGTTTAATGGAGTAAAATTAGGGATTTGTCTCGTGTTGGTCGGAAGAGGAGGAAATTCACTGTTTTGTTAGGAATTTGCTATTTTTATTAACCCTTGGTACCAATTCACTTGCCTGAAAGAAATACATATTATCCAATGACATATATTGCCTGATTTGTGCCTGACGTATGTATTCGGGGCAACTTTTATTTATTGATGTATGATCTGAGCTGAGCGCAACTGACACAAGAAATTACATTTCCATTACAGGTATGGTACTCTTGATTCTTACAATTACGGGTACATTGACCTTCATGAGCCAACTTACCACATTTTTGACATTTTTCTTTTCCACAACACTGTCTTTTATTGTGACCAGAGTTTAGACAATTGAAATATTGATTTACTGGCATTATGTAGTTTTCCACTCGAGTCTCCAGTCCAAAGATGATGACTGAACTTGGCAGGAACTTTCCCTTAAATGTAATCAAACAGCTAGTTTTTACATATTCAACTTTGTTGTTGTCGTTCCTGATTCTTTGGTTGAATCTTTTAACTTCCAATATTTCTGATGAGTCTTGGGAATTTTTATTAATATCTTCCGTATCAGCTTCTTTCAAAATTCCTCTCACTATACCTTTGCACGTTACTAGATACTCTGGAATATAAACAATATAGTCCCTACTAAGTAATTCTTTATTCTGTAATAGATTATTGGCAGATTCTGGGGATTTAAACTCAATATTAATTTCATTCTCTCCTTTTTTCATGGGGCTCCTTACATTTTCTAGTTTTAGATCATATATAAATTTGGCAATTGCAATAGGGTGTAATTGACCCACATTTTTCCCGGATGGATCCTGTACCACCTGGAATGGACCTAAAGAGTGACTATCAAATTTATGTATAATCTTATTTTTAATTTGTTCAGCTTCAAAATTATGTGGGGAATTGTGAATATTATTTGAATTAAGGCCAGAATCTGGAGGCCCTGCAATGGGCCCCCAGAGTTATCACACAAAATCGCTTTTTCGCTGGACTACGCTGTCGTTAACGCGGAGGTCGAGCATAGAAAAAAAACTGAGAAATTCATAATTTTCTTAGTTATTTTATTGTGAAATCCATACAAATATATTGACAAATAATTTACACAGTGGATTATTATATCGGTTAAATGACTAGGTTTTTGGACATTTTGTTATTATGAGCCTAAACTACTACCGATACAATTCCTCTACTCTCAAGATTCTTATATTTAATTAGATTAAACAAAATTGGTGCCAGAGCCTAACTAAAACCTTAGTTGCGACACTCAACCAGAAAGAAAACCTTAATAAATATAATTAACAGCAAAGGCAATTGTGAAATGATATTTCACAACTGAAAAGTAAAGCTACATAAATTATCACAAAAATAGGTAGTGCAGATTTTCTTTTAATTTCCATCAAAATATTTTTACAATAATTGCGATTAAAAGAAAAACATTGAACACACAAATACATAACATAATATCACAAATCGTGTCGATGCTAAATTATTTTATCCAGCTATAATAGGCCAGGCTAGAATATTTCTCATAAATACTTGCTTTTGTACAAGCGATAATTAGAAGAAATGTAAGATTTTAGAACCGCATATACACTCAGATTCCAGTTTTCTATAACTTCAACTTTATTGTTAATTTGAAGATACTATCCTGCTAACCAGATCTTTAACATCAATTTGTAAACGTTTATTTCATTTCTATGTAAAAATACGTTTTTTTCGCTGTTGTAGAAAAAAAATCCCTGTATTCCAGGTTTCATCTAAACACCTGAGTGTATACATATTCTTAGTTTGATATTTTTGTCTTTTCCAATGGCACCTAATATCAGGACAGAATTCCCTCATGTTGTCTAAGTTATAAGTTAAAATTACAATGTCAATTCAATTAACATGAAAAATCTCTGTCGCTGTTATAGATTTCATAGGAATAGACATCTGAAATAATTTTCAATGAATGGCATTTTAATAAATCCAAATATCAAACATCAATGTTATAGCAGATTTTGTCAATTAATTTGAATAAGTGGCTCTATATGCTCTACAAAATTGAGCCAAGAAATGTTATCATGGACAATTTGGCGCATACCCGCCTAATTTAAGACTAAAATAAATAGATAGTGGCACAGATGGCAAGATAGAAAAACTAATAAACAAAAATAACTATCAGGTACTTAACCGTTGGAGCTTCTATAAGCAAATAAATAGAAAGCTTCATAATAAATAACTATGTGTCGGCCCCCTTGCCACATTTTTAAAGCAACTATACAGCATGGACACTTAAGTACAATAAATATTCCTGTAGTTTTCTAGTACTGCTTTGACTAATGCAGCTAATATCGCTTTCAATATCTAAGAAATTCGCTTTTCTTTGGCCATCTAAGAGATTCTGTAAATTAATTTGTACTGAAAAAAAATTGGTAAAACTATGACCAGCATGCAAATTTTCAGATACTAAAATTTTGAGTATTTAATCAGATTAATAAACCAAACTATGGACTGGGCAAAAATATTCAACTGGACAATCATGTCCATTAAAAAAAAAATCACATTTCTAGTACTGAGGCCAGTTCAACTTTTAGCGGAACTCGGACCAGCTTGCGGCTCTGTAGATTTTGATGGTGAGGTTTGATCTTTTGTGGTTAGGGCTTGAAGCCGAGATGGTAGATCTGATGAGGTGACTACAGCATGCTGACCTGAAAAATTAGAAGAAAAAAAAATGTATATAAAAATTGGAGCAATTGAAGCGTTTATTTATTTATTTATTTATTTATTTATACCATAAGTATCAACAGCTTCATAAACAGCCAAGTATAGACACTCGCTTAGTCTAGAAATACAATATACAATTACAAAAGTTAAAACTAAATTACCACAAAAATTCAGACACTAATTTATCATCAACAATTTTCTTAAAATTCCTTAAGCTAATCATGTCTATATCTATGTCAGAAGCATACTTATTAAACATCACAGAATACATATCCTCACGGATAGAAGGCAAACTGCCTAATAAAATTTTGGGGAACAATGCGCCGTCACGGCGCTGTGGATGCGATCCGAACTATTTATAATATAGGTTTCTGTAATCAAATAAACTGTCAAAATAGTTCACCCAATGTCAATTTTTCCAATATTAATTTTTCCCAATGATTTTTCCTCTTTATAGTCGAATTCGATTCGACGGTTTCTACTTCCGAGTAAAGCAAAAACGGCCAAAACTTCTTGTGTTTGTGTCCCGCGTGTGGCTAAATTCACCAAAATGTTGCACCGCCGCGGATGCGGTGATTACGATTCACTAATGCCAATGCCCAGTAGTTTGGCAAATCCTGTTCAACTTAACACTGCTTTTTCTACTTATTCCACCACGGTACCTACACCAGCTGAATTTAGCCACTCGCGGGTTTTGTGTAAGATCTGATTTTTTTTTCGAATTCAATAAACATTTTTCTGGATTTAAAATGCACACCAACACTAAGACAAATTCTCATTCAGAATTATTTTGACATATTTTTTTTGATACATAGGTAACAGGTAAACGAGGTAAATTAAATCTCATTGGGTAAACTGCAAAAGTAAACAGTGACCTGTATATTTTCTGATGGCCTTCATTCCGCACCTGTAATTGTGTTTTAATCCAGCGTCCCCAAGCGGATGCGATCCGAAGCTTTTTTTTTAGGCCCCGCCCTCCATTAAGCTTTTTTTTCTATCCGTGAGGATATGTGTTCTGTGTTAAACATTTGACACATCTTATATATAGGTGATTGCTTAAATGAATTTGTTCTAGGGAAATCCAGGTAAAACACTTTCTTATCTTTAACGTTCACTCTATTTACTACAAATGGTAATTCACCAAGAATATCAGGACTGTCAATATTTCCCTTTATCAACCTAAACATGGTACACAAACATGCTCTTGATCTACGAAATTCCAAAGGCATCCTATTGAACATACATAATAAAACTCTATTATCACAGCACCTGAGCTTTTTTCTTCAGCGACTCATGGATAAACTGGGAAAATGCAGCTAAGTTAGTGAAAGTGGATCTTTTTGATAGAAATCCATGCTGAAATTGTGTGATTTTAGAAGAGACTTCATTATAGATCAACTCAAATAGGATTCTCTCGAAAATTTTAGGCACTGCACACACAATGCTAATAGGACGATACTTCTTGATCTGTTTTTTAGATCCACTTTCATAAATAGGAATTGCCTTACTAAATCTCCATTGATCAGAATAAATGGAAGATTTCAGGCCTAAAGTGAAAAAAATTTCAATGGTTTAACCAAAATCTCACTACACCCCTTAAGAATATATGCCGGCGGACCATCTGGACCAATATCTCTATCAGCTTTCATTCTCTTGATAGCATTCAAAATTTCTTCATCGGATATTAACACATCACAAAAATACGACTTTATTGCAGACAGGTCACAAACACATTCAGACGTATCATCACTCACAAATACAGATTTAAAAAATTCCTTCAGTCACAGACTGAGTTCCTTTGCATAAGCAATTTCCCAAGTTCATCTCCTCCATGATGTCTTGACTCTCTTTTTGGCCTTTCAAAAACGACCAAAAATACCTAGGATTTAACATTAAGCTACTCTCCAGGTCCAGCAAGTACTTTTTATGTGCTACCCCAATCTTACATTAAAGCTCCTTTCGCAAGGCCCTGTACTTATTACCCCAGAAATGGGACTAATGCGAGATTAAATGTATTAGTCATTTGTGACGCCAGATCATCAATTGAAAATCAATTTTGTATTAAACTAATTACTGATAGAAAACTGCATAAAGTATAAATAGATAATTTATATAAAAGGTAAATGACCAGTCTAATTATTTGCGTCACTCCTAATTATCACAATTTAGTTTGGCAGCATGACAAATTATCCATAAAAAAAAAAACAATTAATATTTTTTCAATTAAACGTAAACTGAAATACATAAGCACTTAAGTTTTTAGTACCGACGTTTACTGGCCAAAATCCAAATTTTTTTTTTCAATTACTTGACGCACAAACACTTACCTAATATATCAGGCAAAGCATTCCTGCGTCCTGTCCGGCCCGAACTCAAAAATTCCTGAATGGGTGGCTCATTTGGGGACGTGGACGTCCCGCTGCTGGACGGTCCTGCGCCCTGAGATCCTGCCTCCATCACTGCTAACATCTTCAGCACTATGAAAGGAAAATCTTGTATTGAAAACATAAGAATTTTTTTTGCTCAAAAAGGTTAGGAATTTGGGAGTTTAGCTGCTACCATAAGGGTGGGTATTATAAAACTACTTTGAGAGTTAACTTAAAGTTAACTTCTGGAATTACATGTAATTCAAAAAGTTAACTTCAAGTTAACTTTCAAAGCAGTTTTATAATACCTGCCCTAAGTGTTATAATCTCAGGATCACCAATACTTACTCCTAAAGCAAATAAATTAAAATTAGTTAAATTTTGACCCAAAATTATCCAAAGCGTCTAATTTATTTTATCTCCAGCAATAAAAATAAAATGCAAGTACGTCACAATTGGTATTTGCATAATAACGTAGGTTGTAGGTTGAAGTATTTTCGGCATTTTATAGCATTATAACAAAAAAAAAAATAATAATAATTATCCACTTACAAGTCCTTTTGCGATTTTTCACAATCAAATACAATTTTCCTCTGGTGGGTTTTCTTGATAATATCCCTACATTTTTTGGTACACATTGTGGATTAGCTATCAGATACATTTTTGTAAATAATAATCACCACACTACACTTCGTGAGCACAACGAATTTTAAAATGAAAATTCTATGGAAGGATCTGGCCAATTAAGTGAATATTAGCTGCTAGCTACAGGAACGGACTTTGAACATGAACAATTAAATAATTCAAATTACCTTTATAAGTATCCTTAAAATTTTTGCAATATTAACCACTGTAAAGTAACTGTGAATAACCTTTGTGAATAGATGAGCAATTACTCACTTGTTAGTTTTGTTACATGCAAGTCCCTAAAGTAATTACCATTATTAATTGAACACGCGATATGAGATCATTTCTAGAAGCTAAAAGTGAGAATAATTATTAATAAGAGTTAAAATTTTAAGAGAACTTGTATGGTGAATGACAAAGTATCATCAACAATATTATTACAGAAAATAGTTAGGAATTTCACATACATATTTCTATAGTGAGGTCCATCAATTCAATTCTTAAAGGCTTAACGATTTACTCAATTAATAAAAAATCTATGCTGGCTGTTTTATTTGCCATATGGAGGTAATTGCCCCCAAAACAAATCTAAAAATTCATATTATCAATCACCTCTGTTTACCAATTTTTTTTTAAATTCTTAACAAACAGAACACTTACTAGTCAGTATACAAATTTTAAATTAACTTTAAATAAAATCTCTTGCCTATAAAAAAAGTCCAGCCCTGTTCCCGCGTCCTCCGCACTTGTCCTACATTACGTAGATGATGCTCTAAAAAATTGTAACAGGCACGTCGTTATTCCGTGAATGACGTCCACAATGAGGTGATAAAAGAGATAAAACAATATTATGTATAGTAGCTACAGGGTGACGCATTTACGATGTTTATTCAAAAATTTTGAAGCATATTCTCGAGATCAAGAAAATACAGAGCGATTTCCAATAATTGTCACCCAATTTATCATGAGTTTTAATTTTTTTTTCTATTACTTCATTCTGCCTGAAAATTTGCTGTTGTATATTTTTCCTGTTTAACAGATCTTTCAAAATTGGGAAAAAATCCAGAATCGCACTTCAAGTTAGCCTTGATTATATATTTTTGTCACTGTTATTTGAGGAAAAAAATGACTTTGAGAATATACTCCCATTGATATCTTTGTTGGTTTGCAATATAGCAAAAGTGTGCCACCCTGTTTTCAGATAAACAGTGCATGGCTGCTGCCACATAGGCTGCCGATTTGAAATTAATTGGATAAAATATTTGCTATGGATAAACAAAGCTATTGTGCTCAATCCCAAATAGGTCGATTATTGGTTTCTGATATAATCGGGGATACTTGTGGCAAGAAATTAAGGCAAAGGCTTTGGTAATATAAGAGAAATAAAGCAAATGTATTGCTCCTGAAGAATCAAGTTCTATCGATTTTTTTTGTACTTGCTCTGCACTCTTTAATTCTTGTAATTTAAAATAAGGACTAGCAAGAAGATCAATCTCCAATAATTTATCTTGTTCAATATACCTATGTACTTAGTTTAATAGGAAAAAATAACTATCACTACTAAGATATGGTATAGCTTTTTGGGGGTTTACTAACAGGCAACTGTTTAACTCAATATTTGTTTTACAAAGGAGGGCAATTCGTTATTTGTGTAAAGTTGCAGTGAACATTGTCAACTATTATTTATTAGGGAAAAAAATTTAACTGTACCATGTCTATTCATTTTAGAAACTGTGTGTCTTGTGCACAAAAAATATTCAGGTTTGGAAACTCGGGATATTGTATACAATACTAGAGTAAGTTTGAACACTAATATAGGCTTAACTATACCAAAGTATGCTTTAGCAAAACATTCAATATTTTAGGAGAGCTAAAAATGGTCAACCCTATATATTATGTGAGTGATGAACTTAAAACCATTAGAAACTACAAACTATTTGGTAGGAGTGTTAAGGATATATTGTTGCAAAGGGCTTACTACAGCTTGGAGGACTACTATAGTGATACTGTTTTTATTTATTTTTTGAGTACTTTTGTGTTTTATTTACATTTTATCATTTTAGTGTAGTTTAAAGTATATGTAATATTGCTTGGATAGCCGTTCTGTTTGCAAATTGTTCATAACTTGTTTGTATTTACATTAGATTTGCCTTGGTTTCAAAAAAGGGCGGTTCTAGAACGGTTCAAAACAATCGTATAGTTTATTAATCAACAAAATGATAACAGCTCCGCTATCAAAATTCCAATAATAAACTGTGCGATTCTTTTGGACCGTCCTAGAACCGTCCTTTTCTGAAACCAAAACAAAGCTAAAGCTGTGTTATTGGTGATTTTTTGTTTGTTTTACTGTTAAGTTGATGCTTTGTCAATAGAAGAAAGGAAGAAATTCCAACTTACGACGGTCATTAAGCCCAAATGAAAACACCTTATCAATAGAATTTTTTCCTTGCATAATAAAGTATGATTGACTATGACTTTGACTTAAAACCAAGCCAAAGTAGTAGTGAAAGTACTTAGCTTAGAGGTGCAGTATTCCATACATATTGAATCAAAGTATGTTCATTGGAAAATAGATGCGCAGGGTGGTAGGCTTGAATAGGGATAGTACCGAGGATAGTACTTACCTACTTTATATCAGAGCATAATATGTATTTATGTGGAAGTTATTTGCTGTGACAAAATCTTGTAAATTTCAATAATTTTATTATGGCTAGGTACTACCATATATCAGCTGGTACACGGTGTAAATTTGTAAATATGAAGTCTTGTATAAAGTAGTGTTTCCCTAAATGGAACACTCTGTAAGTTTGTTTATCTTTGAATAGCCCAATTTCAAGTAAACATATATCACAACATGGGTCTGAGGTCCTCCATTTCAAACTTATTCAATGAACTGAACTATTATAAGCCTCCTCCTGATGAGCAGCCTAACTGGAAGTAAAGTACTGCCATCTATTAGAGAGAGGTTCAATTGCATTGAATGGTGGTGCCATCTATCAGAGAGATACATAATCCTGAGCGTTGTTGCTAAAGACCTTATGATAAAGCGTTTTTCTCTGTCAGAATCTTATTTGCATCAACCAGAAAGAGAAGAAAAAATATCAATTCAGATTTGACAAAGAACACTCAATGGAGATACCAAAAGTGAAGTAACTGAGTGGTTGAACGACCTTAAAAAGTGTTCGAATACTACATAAATGCCCTTTTATATTGGAAACTGCTGCAAGAATGCATCAGATAGGAACTGAACATTGGATGTCCAGCAAGATTGAAAAAATTGAAAGTAATAAATTATGCAAAGACGTGAAGGTACCATCACGAAAAGCTCAAGAACAAATTCTTACTGGACTAGGTACCTATATGATAAGACATTATGTGAACTGTTGAATAACATCTCGAGTAACATGGAGCAAAACTGAGCATATCATGATGAAGATGATCTCCTTTATTCATCAGAAGAATATCGCTGGATCCATGAGAGGAGAAATTTGATTCCAACAGTGTCCCAAAAATGAAAAAAAGAAGGTAAATAGAGAACAAGAATCTTTGAAAATTGAAGTTTATGTTCGAGTATGTCCTCTTTATAAAGAAATTAAACAAATACAACTTTTGGGATGTAGATGCCTTATCACAAAATTTAGTGGAAGAAGAGACAGATTTTAGTATAGTACCGAATACCTTAGTACCTAACCTAGAAGAATATTGATTATGTATCAGACAATCGAGATGCGGGTATCATTGGAAAAAAAAAACATGTAAGTAATGCAGAAGAAAGAAGAATAAAAGTTGAGTATAAATTCAAGGAAGAGTGAACAGAAGCGAATGCATGAAGTATTTACACCAAAAAAAAAGGATGGACATTTTTATGATAATAATAAACATTTTTTTAGTATTTAGTTTAAGATATAGTTTATAAGCTGTTTTCCTCTTAAGAACAGAATGAATCGAGATTATTTAGGCATGTTACATTGAGTAAAATGGAATTAGTAAATTTGATGAATTAAATCTGTGAACTTCTGATTTTATCAATACAAGTATGGAACTATGGCATTTGGAACATTATCTTTAACATGCGGGTTGTTGAATGTTGATAATAACCTGAGTTATAACTAGTGGAATTTCAAGTAAGTATCATCTACAATGTTTCAAAATTCCATCTATAAAACAAGAGTGATAAGACCCTGGAAAAGATAGAGAATACAAATGAGAATATGGATTTGTCACATGATACTATTAGAGTATTAGCTCGAGTATTAGGTACTAAACTAGAGAATTTGATAACAGGTCATAGCGCATATTTGTATAGGTAGTAAGGTGACAGTGTGGGATTCATTTCTGGTTTAAAATAGAATGCAAATCAAACCAAGTGGTTCTAATCCTAGTTGAGTTAATCTAGTTTAATTAATTTAAAACTACTGCTATATTAAAAAAAAATACTGGTACTGCCTGGCAGTACTTTTCCTTTGTTGAAATAGTCAGTAAAGGTTGCCAAATTAGAGGTATTCTTTCGATCTGAACAAACTGATCGAAATCACTTGAGGTTTGTTTTAAACAATGAGGTAGTATACTATGTATAAAAATCAGTAAAAAATCTGCTCGACCTTATTTTATAGGCTAAATGGTGATGGTATAGTGGGATACTAAATTATTTTCCAGCATAATGTCTATAGAATTAGTAAGAGAAAAACAAACGGTAATTTGAATTTAGTGCCACAGCGGCGACCAATAGTATTCAAGCCGCTGACCATCTGGCAACGTTGATCAAAATGACAGCTAAATTCAACAGTTCAACGACGTGTGGTGTCGTGTGAATCGTGTGACATTGTCACAGACTTGTTTACGTTGTTTGATATAGTGAATTTGATGTTTCATTCTTGACGGTCAATGTCAGTGCAAATTGTGTGTTCTCAAAACCGTGATATGTTGCCAGATTGGAGAAACTAACTACGTCACGAACTTTTATTTTCTCGTAGGGGCGGGGCTAAGAGGAAATTTAAAAAATAAAATTCCAGGCTACTGCGGTTTTTACAAAGCACCTTGATTACACTAAATAGTACGATACGTCGAATATATCACTACGTAGTAGTTAAAAATCACTTGTATACTAACCCATTGTCATCCCGTATTACAATGATTTCATTGGCCCTAACTGTTTTTTTGGCGCCTCCTAAACAAACCTTATAGTCGGAGAGCCAGCGCCAAAAAAGTGCAAGAGTTTCATAAAAGCTGAAAATGTAATATAAGCTTGTATTTGTGATGTATATAACTATACTCGAGTCAGCAAGTGAGGTAGCGGGACAAGCTACGCCCACGCACCTTTGAATGTGTAAAAAAATAATCGCGATGAAAGAGTTTCATGACAGCTGAAAATCTCTCAATCCATTGTTTATTTGATAAAAAACATGACGCACATGGTCAGATAGCATTATTTTAGGACAACTAGAGTCAGCATGCCTATACAGGGTGGTCCATTTAACTTGAGACAGTCTAATATCTCGAAAACGGTGCTTTTTTGAAAAAAAAAGTTCAAATAAAAGTTACATGGTTTCATGTGGGAAACAAAATGGCGGTACTGATTTTTGACTTTGACAACGTTTTCAGGGTTATTTCAAGGTCAACTCTTTTTTTTTTCAATGGAAATATATTTTTTTATTACAGAATCTTATTCTACAGAAAAAAACAAGTAACTTTTACTTGAAGCATTTTTCCATCCGGTTTCAATTTAAGCTGATCAAAAAGAGCGAATATTTTTTTTTGTTTTCTCCTCACAAAATCGAACAGTAGAGAAAGGTTACCAAAAATACCTCAAAAACTATAACAATTGATCAAAATGAGGATCGCCAACTTCAACACACTTGTCAATTCACTTTAAAAATCAAACACACAGTTTATCAAGAGGTTCCCACAACACCGGATAATATGATGGAACACATAAGAAATGCTTAGAGCTGTCAGTAAAGAAACTGTAATTTGGTGCCATGAAAGCTTTTCACAGCGAATTAACAAGTGTGTTGAAGTTGGCGGTCGTCAATTTGATCAATTGTTATATTTTTTGAGGTATTTTTGGTAACCTTTCTCTACTTTTCGATTTTGTGAGGAGGAAAAAAAAAATTATTCGTTCTTTTTTATCAGCTTAAATAGACCTATCTATTTTTACCTGGTATGCGCGCGCAACACGAGGCATTGTCTTTTTATTGGCTAGCTAATACAGGTGTGAGGTGATCGTTTTCCACGCTGGGCATCTCTTTGTCCTTGTTCATTGCACGTGGTCTGACAAGAATAAATCTAAAGTTGATATTCAACTTGACAAGTGTCATTCAAAAGTTGTTTGACATTTTCATTGACAAATACGTTGCACAACATGCGGTTTTTCTCCTTCCTTTTTTATCCCGTGCAAATAAGAAGGACGGATTGCTATACGTAAGTCTAACATAATTTGGTACGTTTTGCCTCGTCTTGCGCAATGAGCGTTCTGTGTCTTTTTTTATTTAATGAAGTTTTCGTATTATTACCTCTTTGTCTGGTAAAATAGATAGGTCTATTGAAACCGGATCGAAAAATGCTTCAAGTAAAAGATACTTGTTTTTTTCTGTAGAATAAGATTCTGTAATAAAAAAATATATTTTCATTGAAAAAAAAAAGTTGACCTTGAAATAACCTTGAAAACGTTGTCAAAGTTAAAAATCAGTACCGCCATTTTGTTTCCCACATAATACCATGTAACTTTTATTTGAACTTTTTTGTTCAAAAACGCATCGTTTTCGAGATATTAGACTGTCTCAAGTTAAATGGACCACCCTGTACTATAGGCATGCTGACTCTAGTTGTCCTAACATAATGCTATCTGACCATGTCCGTTATGTTTTTTATCAAATAAACAATGGATTGAGAAATTTTCAGCTGTCATGAAACTCTTTCATCACGAATAATTTTTTACAAATTCAAAGGTGCGTGGGCGTAGCTTGTCCCGCTACCTCACTTGCTGACTCGAGTATAGTTATATACATCACAAATACAAGCTTATATTACATTTTCAGCTTTCATGAAACTCTTGCACTTTTTTGGCGCTGGCTCTCGGACTATTATGTGATTACTAATCAGTTAGTTCAGATCGAAAGATTACCTGAATTATAATTTTTTATCCCATTTTGACGTTTAAAAATGACATTATATTATTGAACGCGTATTAACGAAGGTAAGTACACGTTTATCAGCTGAGTTGCCTTAAAATATTTTTAACTCACTCTCGGTCCTTTAAGTCACTGCCAGTATAAAAAACTGCTACAAATACAAACAAACAACTAGTTATACCCTAGCAACTACCAGTTTCAATGTCGCGTTCTCTAAATGAATTCTTTTTATGATTTGATTCCTATTAAGTAGCGAGTTAAGTACCTTTTATTTTTCAAATGTCCCTCAAAATGGGATAAAATCTTGTAGACATCACATGAGTTAAAATGTTTATTCATTCGAAGAAAATTAACCCACACGCTAGGGCTCGTGGGTTAAACTTTCTTCTCATGAATAAACATTCATTTAACTCACTTGATATATAAATAACTATTAAGGCCTATGCAGCCATAACCCAAAAATGTCATCTTTACCAATAATTTCAACAATACTCTAACCATACTTAGGGACCAATAATTTAATGAAAATAAGCAAGTTACTTTAGCGTTAGATGGGTAATAAAATTGGGGGGCCTCGCCAGAGCATCAGCAGATTAGAACAGCGGTCAGCGTCTCGTCATGCAGGAAATAGCTGCCTTTTATTTTTGGCCGAGGGCTGCGCCTACCTGCTTTTCTGGTGAGCCCCTTTGGGGGACGCGATACGCGGCCACCGGGGGCTTTTCCACCTACCATGGGCATGCGGGCGAACCGCCGCCTCGGAGCTCGTTGACAACGGTTTTCCGGCGTAGCTGCTTCACTTAAAAATCACCTTTTCACAAAATAAATGTCGTGAAACTCGAGAGAATTTAATAAAACAACGGTTTGGTATTATAGTTTTTGAACAATGAACGTGATTGTGATGATGAGCATCATGTGTGACGGCATTTTTGTTGACAATTTGACGGATTAGTTATGACCGTTGATTTATGACGTAAAAAAAATAATTTAGCATATAACATTGCCGATAATGTAGATTCCTTACTAAATATACAAACTTTTGAGCCAATTTGCGGTTCTCAATAGTTTATTCCTTTCAAGAGTTTAGAAAACTAGAGCTACTCGCTCCGGTGTTAAGTCGACCCCGATTTGAAAGGAACAATGCGCTGGCTTTCGTGCATTCAAATGGTTTTGTTCGGGCTTGAGCAACTCAGGTGCAACAAACACTTTTCGAAAGGAATACTTCATTCTCTGTTGCGCGAAATTCGCTGTTTGCTTCGACAATTTGTATTTTATACACGCATAAAACGTCAAATATTCGAAGCAATGTCAAATA